TTTTTTCTTTTGTTTGTATGTGTTCGGGGTGCATTAGTTTGAATTGGATTGTGTTTTTAAATTTTGTGGAAAATTGAAATGATTATGGCCTTTGTTGCTATTCTGGAATGAAGGCAGTCAGACTCAAAAGTCTTCAGTCATTTAATATGTACAAAAAGGCTCAAAGCATGTCTGGTAATCCGACTCTCGTAGATGAGGATGCTTCTTCAGGATCAGGAGATGAGGCAAACATGTTGGATGGGCACAATAAACCTCAATCTGTGACACCAAATTCAAGTCGTCGCAAGAGAAGTCGTAAAGCTACAGGTGATGCAATAGTTGATGCTATGCTTGAAATAGCAGCCGCTTCAAAGATGAGGGCAGCTGCAATCATGAGGAATGATGAGCTTTTTACTATAAGCAAATGCATAAGACTATTGGACGAGATGCAAGGTGTTGATCAAAGTCTCTACTTTTACGCTTTGGATTTATTTGAGAATCGGACATCAAGAGAAACTTTTGTAGCTCTTAAGGTTGAGAGACGATTAGCATGGTTGCAGGGAAAGTTTAGAGCTTCCTCAAGTACATCAGCCTGAAGAAGTTGATGTGCTTTTTTGCCGTTTTACTAATGGGTCCTCTACTATTATCTCAGATTTGTGTTGATATTAGTGAATTTTTCTCTTTTGACCTTGAACTTGGTTTAACAGGTGTGATTAACTGCTGATGCATATATATTGATGAATTAATAGTGTTTTGAACTCTTTTCTATTCCATGCTTTTGAAATTGAATAATTTTTTTCCCTATGATCTACTTATGTTGACAATTCATGTAACCATGCATGTATGTTGTATTATACATCCCTATGTTTCAAACTCTATTTGTACAGATTCATCAGCCTTTATGGATGACTTTGACATTGAATTGGATGAGCTGGAATTAGTTGCAGCAGCTGCTGGTTACCACTACTATAATAGTATTACGAGGTGTCCTGTGCATAGCGTGTCTCCTAAAGGATCTGGATTCTTGGCTGAAGTACTCAATGGTCATGATGATTCGTGTCGAGAAATGTTAAGGATGGACAAGCATGTGTTTCACAAGTTGAGCGATACTTTTCGACAGAGAGGCATGCTACGTGACACAGCAGGTGTCATGATAGAGGAGCAGTTGGCCATTTTCTTGAACATTGTTGGCCACAATGAACGTAACAGAGTAATTCAAGAGCGTTTTCAGCATTCGGGTGAAACAATAAGTAGACACTTCAATAATGTATTGAAGGCAATCAAGTCATTATCACGAGAGTTCCTTCAAACTCCACCTCTCATTACTCCAGCAGAGATCCTGCAAAGCAATAGATTCTATCCTTACTTTGAGGTGCTTATCTGAACACATCTTTCTTT